TTTAATTCGAAAGCCTGGGAAGCAGAGACTGTTGTCAAGACGAAGCCACACGACTAGTAGGTGGAGTTGGGATTTGAACCCAAGAACTGGGGCCCCACTGGGAGTGTGAGGTCTTAGCCTCTGGGCCAGGCTGTCCCCCAACTTGGGAGCTTGCGATTCCACCACCCGTCACCTTCCTCTAGGTGAAGCCACTGCTGCAGGTGACGCGGCAGGACGAGGTGCTGCAGGCGCGGGCCCAGGAGCTACAGAAAGTGCAGGAGTTGCAGCAGCAGAGCGCCCGCGAAGTGGGCGAGCTCCAGGGCCGCGTGGCGCAGGTGAGGGGTGGAGCCAGGGCGTGTAGGGGCGGGGCCATGTGGGTGTCGAGTGGTGCCAGGGTGTGTAGGGGCGGGGCCTTGGGTGGAGCCAGGGTGTGAGGGGCGGGGCTTCTGGCCGAGCTAGCCTGTTGTAGGGTGGGGGCGGAGCCAAGGTGTACTGGGGCCGGGCAGGGGTTGGGACTGTTTGATATGGGTCAGGGCCCTGGGGGTGCAGCCAGGGTATGGGCCGGGCGGGGGAACGTGCAGAGCCAGGATGCTCAGGGGCTGGGCTGTGGGATTTGGGGGCAGGACGGGGGCCGGGCTGTGGCAGGGCTGTATTACTTGGGCGGTGGACTTTTAGCTGTTTCCAGTATTTTTGCTATCATAAAACAATGGTGTAGCAAACCTCCTTCTTGAACATTTTTCTGTTGGCTTTTCCTGAATTATTTCCTCTGGTTGAATTTCTAGGCACAGGAGTATTAAATGAAATGTAAGATGGTAGAAAGACCCCCGGGGTTATTTGGAAGCTGGATTAGGAGAGGAGAGGCTGGAGGCTGGGTGGGCAGGGGAGGAGGCTGGAGAGAGTCCAGGTCGGAGAGGACCAGGCCTGACCCTGCTGGGGACAGTGGGGGGGGGGCCAGAGAGGGACAGGGCTGGGGACTGATGGGCTCTGGGAGGTGAGGGAGAGGAAAGCACCCAGGAGTCTGACTCCGCGACTAGGGAGATGCGGGGTCATCCTGAGATGGGGACCTGCAGAGGGGCAGGTTGGGGGACTGCGTGTCCCACCCCTCACTGCTGCCCGAGAGGCCTGGGGTGGGGGGTGGGGCAAAGCAAGTGCAGGAGCAGGAAGGACGCGGTGCTCCATTGCGGGCCACCCTGGGAGCCCTGCCTTGTGACCACTGACCTCCCACCCCGGCCCCAGCTGGAAGAGGAGCGCACCCGCCTGGCAGAGCAATTGCGGGCGGAGGCAGAACTGTGTGCGGAGGCGGAGGAGACGCGGGAGCGGCTCGCAGCCCGCAAGCAGGAGCTGGAGCTGGTGGTGTCCGAGCTGGAGACTCGCATGGGCGAGGAGGAGGAGTGCAGCCGACAGCTGCAAACCGAGAAGAAGAGGCTGCAGCAGCACATACAGGTCTGGCCCCCCACATGCTCACCAGGCCACCCCCAGGGCCCTTCTGTCTACCTTACCTACCTTTGCTTCCACAAACCATGTCTTTTTGGATCATGAAGTTTCAGAAAACTGTTCTAAATGACTTAAGCAAAAACAATATGTTTTTTGGTTCAAATAATGGGAGACTCTAAAATGTGTGAGCTTCAGGTATGGCTGGATCCAGGCGTTCAAGTGATATCTCCAGTACTCTGCCTCTCTCCATGCCCTGGCCTCATTCACAGGCAGGCTGCCCTCTCATGGTTCCCCTTCAAAATCCAGTGTGTGTTTTACACTATAGCACATCTCAATTCAGATGCTAAATTTTCATTGGAAATACTTGATCTGTATTTCTGTTTCCTAACTTCTACAGTTTAAAAAGTTAGACTCACACACCCAAGTTGTTCCAAACATACTTAAAAGCCTTCCAGTGATTGAGTTATTTATTGAAAATTCAGTTATTTATTGAAAATAAATCAAATTAAATACAAGAGAAAATCCAGTTCCTCCGTCATATTTTCCAGAGCTCCGTCGTATTTTAATTGCTTCTACTTCACCCCATTCGTGAGGGAGGGATTTGCCTTAGGGTTATGGGGGCTGAACACACGACACCTGACACCGGACAGATGAGGTTGACAGTAGCTTATTGAATACCACAAATACTTGCAGCCTACGGCAGGCAGACACCATGCCACGGAGGCCACGGAGGCCACAGACAGTGCACACGTGGGCCGTGGGAAACGGGCTTTGTAGTAACGACAGGTGGAGACCAGGATGTGACCACCATGGGAAGATGTGATTGGCTGGTTTCGATAATTCTGTGGGCTGTCAGGGAAACGAAACGTGTTTCTTGGGGATAAGTTGACACTGTGCCTGGTCCCCTTGGTAGGAAGGGTTAATTGGCTAGGGGACTTTATCTGTGGGAGAAAAGTGGGTAGGAGGATTTGCAGTTAGGCCATTCGAGGCCCTCCCACTTGTCCCAAATGTCAAAGCAAGGCAGCGTGAATTATGGGATCTTAATTTCCAGCGTGCCCGTGACTCCGTAGTGGACTGTCCACATGTATATGATCTGTTCACGATGTTTCTTTATGACATATACTCCCTCAGCCCACACACAAGAATGTAATTTCCACAAGGATAAGGATTTTTATGTATCCTCAGTGCCTAAAACAGTGCCTGGTATACATTAGGCACTCAATAAGTGCTTGTCAAGCTAACAAATGAAATGGGAAGACCAGTGAGGGTTTGATCCTCTGCAGCCTCGCCCAGGGTGTGGACCTGTCTGAGCACAAGCCTCGGGGGTCTGTGGACCATCCCTACCTCCAGCCTGCCCCATCAGCCCCCAGCCCCTGGCCTCGGGGTCCTCACTCCTCCCTCTGCCCCCTCCAGGAGCTGGAGACCCACCTGGAGGCTGAGGAGGGGGCGCGGCAGAAGCTGCAGCTGGAGAAGGTGACGACGGAGGCCAAGCTGAAGAAGTTTGAGGAGGACCTGCTGCTGCTGGAGGACCAGAACGCCAAGCTGAGCAAGGTCGGGGCCAAGGGCAGCCGCGGGAGGGGGAAGGGCTGCAGTGGGCCCACATGGCAACAGCAGCCGAATGGCTAACGAGTTGGCGTCCGTGTTGTAGAAGTCAACAGGCGAGAGCTGAACAGCCAATAGAGAAATGGGCGAAGACTATGAACAGGCGGTCCTCCCCAGAGCGAGTGGCAAACAAAAGCGTGAAAAGATAGATAGGCACTGGATCACTAGTTATCAGGGACATGAGAATTACAGTCGCATTTCGTACTCAGCACATTAGCACATATATGTGAGTTGGAGGGCACCGTGAGTCGGTGAGGACACAGAGCCGTGGTGTCCTTCTGTCCTGCTGCTGGAGTATAAGTCGTGTCAGCTGCCTTGGAGAGTGATCTGGCGATCTCTGATAGAGTTGAGGATGGGTGTTCCAAGTGACCCAAGAATTCCACTTGTAGGTGTGTGTCCGAGAGTGACACTGTGCAATATAATAGCCGCTGGCTACCCGTGCCTGTTTAAATATATGATCATTACGCCGGGTGCGGTGGCTCACACCTGTGATCCTAGCGCTCTGGGAGGCGGAGGCAGAAGAATCCCTTGAGCTCAGGAGTTTGAGACCAGCCTGAGCAAGAGCGAGACCCCGTCTCTACTAAAAATGAAAAATTAGCCAGGCCTCCTGATGTGTGCCTGTAGTCCCAGCTACTCGGGAGGCTGAGGCAGGAGGATCGCTTGAGCCCAGGAGTTTGAGGTTGCTGTGAGCTAGGCTGATGCCACGGCACTCTAGCCCCAGCAACAGAGCAAGACTCTGTCTCAATAAATAAATAAATAAACAAACAAACAAATGATAATTAACATAAAATAAAATTGAAAATTTAAGTCCTCGGTCTCACTAGCCATATATCAAGTGCTCAGTAGCCACATGTGGCTAGTGGCTACTGTCTTGGGCAGTGCAGATATAGAACATTTTCATCATTCCAGAAAGTTCTGTCAGATATTGCCACTGTAGATCGCGGTCTTTCTTGACCCTGATGCACAGGAATAAATATATTGTACACTGAGACTCAGTGTAGGTACAAACACACGCACATGTACAACTGGGTCAGGAGTTTCATGAAACACTCTTTCCCTCACTGCACGTGTTAGGTCTTTGGAGCAGTAATGCTGCGTAACAAACATCCCCCAAATCCCAGCAGCTTACGGCAGCAACATTTTCCCCGTGTGTCTCCGGGTGGGCTAGGTTAGCCCAGGCTGGGGCGCACTGTGGGATCAGCAGCAAGTTAGGACCTGCGCTTTTCGTGGTGTGAGTTAGAAGTGCAAAGGCCAGGCCCGACCTCACGAGCACTTTCAAACCCTCTGCTTGCACCACATTCACCAGCATTCCACTGGCCACAACAAGTCACGGGGCCACAGCCAACGTTAATGGGACGGGGACTCACGTTCCACTGATTTTCGTGGGAGACTCTACAAAGCAACATGGCAAAGAGCATAAATGTATGATAATATTACGAAGAGAGAGTGAGGAGTTATGAACAGTGAGCCGGGCTGCCATGCTTGTTGGACATTTTCTATTCTGTTCCGATCCATCCCATTTCATTCTTTTTAAGCATAATGAGAACCCATTTCATTGATTCCAAAACCACGCACAATCTGAAGAGTACCATTCGAGGCCAGCGTTTCTCAAACCCTAGTGTGCCCATGACTCACATGGGGAGTTTGTGAAAATGCAGATTCAGATTCAGCCAGTCTGGGGCGGACACCAAGCGTCTGCATTTCCAGAAAGCTCCTATTTGATGCTAACGCTGCTTGTCCATGCACTGTAATTCGAGTAGCAGCAGGGGCCCGAAATTCACACGCTAACGCAACAGGTGTGCAAGGACGTTCATCGTGGTGTTGTTTGTAATAGCAAATCATGGACTGAAGTTGACCTCCCCGTCCGCCAGGGGCTGGCGGGTTACGAAGGGGTGTAGCTCCAATGGCGGGAGTCACCACGCTGCAGTTACGGGTGGGAACCGGTGCGGGTGGGATGAGTCTATCGACCCCAGCCAGTGGGAGGAAGAGGGAAGGGGTGAGAGGAGCATCAGAGAAGGGTGGGGATGAGGAGGGACCCAGGCGAGAGTGACACCGGGACCTGCAGGTCAGGCAGCGGCGGCCCCTGACCGCGCCCACCTGCCGCCCTCCCTCAGGAGCGGAGGCTGCTAGAGGAGCGTCTGGCCGAGTTCTCATCCCAGGCGGCCGAGGAGGAAGAGAAGGTCAAGAGCCTCAATAAGCTACGACTCAAGTACGAGGCCACGATCGCAGACATGGAGGGTGAGCACCACTCACCCGCTGGGGGCTGCGGGGACCGTGCCTGCCCTGGCGGGGGACCTCGGACCAGCTCCGTGTGCTGTGGGGCCTCAGTGGCCGCGTCCGCTAAATGGGTTAGGAAAGGAGGCTCAGGGCAGACTGAGCGTCCTCCTAGCGCCTAAGTTCTTTGCGATCTCTAATTCCAAGTCTCCCTCCCCGCTTGGCGCCATGGGTCGCTCTCACTGTCTCTCCATCGGACCGTCCCACTGACCGTTTCAGACACACTTTTATCTTTCCATCCCTTGCTGTTGACTTAGAATCAGGAATAGAAAGGAGGGCTGCGCGCGGTGGCTCATACCTGTAATCCTAGCACTCTGGGAGGCCAAGGCAGGAGGACTGCTTGAGGTTAGGAGTTCAAGACCAGCCTGAGCAAGACTGAGACCCCATCTCTACCAAAAATAGAAAAATTAGCCAGGCATAGTGGCGTGCACCTGTAGTTGTGGCCACTCGGGAGGCTGAGGCAGGAGGATCTCTTGAGCCCAGGAGTTGGAGGCTGCAGTGAGCTATGATGATGCCACTGTACTCTACCCAGGCGGCAGAGCAGGACTGTCTCAAAAAAAAAAAGTGGGGCGGGGGAGAGGCTGAGCTGAGCCTTCTGCGAGGCCGGGCCCGTGGTCTCTGTGGAGCGGCTGGGAGTGTGGGTCTGGAGCCCCAGCACGCGGCCCCCATTGCCGCCCCCAGACCGCCTGCGGAAGGAGGAGAAGAGTCGCCAGGAGCTGGAGAAGCTGAAGCGGCGCCTGGATGGGGAGAGCTCGGAGCTGCAGGAGCAGATGGTGGAGCAACAGCAGAGGGCGGAGGAGCTGCGAGGGCAGCTGGGCCGCAAGGAGGAGGAGCTGCAGGCGGCCCTGGCCAGGTGCGGGGCGGGCGGCTGGGGAGGGTGAGCAGCAGGGGGCGCACCGCCTGGCAGCAGCGGGGCTGACCCTGCCCGAGTGGCTCACCCGATGACTGCGGATGAGCCACCTCCCCGCTGAGCCTCAGTGTCTCCTACTGTCTAGTGGAGCCGGCAAGAGTTCCAGGCCCGCCAGGGGCAGGGAAAGCGAAACAAGGCCCTGTGTGTCCAGTAACTTGTATAACGCTCTGTGCACAACAGGAGCAAGAAAACGCTATTTCTTCTCCTCCTGCTCGGCCTCCCCACACCGAACAGCCCAGAACCAGCTGTGATCGGACGAGTGGCCTGGCTGTGTTAGGAATCACAATAATTATATCTGCACTCCTTCACAATAATTGAGCCCTTGCTGTATGCCAGATGTGGCGCTCAGGATTTCAGATGCCTTTTATGCACGGCGCTTCATGCAGTCTGAGACATCCTTGATTACACAGACACAGCTCCAGTTCAGAGATGCCAAAACGTGAAAAAGCATGCGTCTAGAACCAAGGCTGCGTGGTGTGCGTGTGCATGTGCGTGTGCATGTGCGTGCGTGTGTGCGTGGTTCACAACATACATCCTTGAGTCTCACTTCTGGGTTCAAATCCTGGCTCCTCTCCTTTCTGGCCATATGATCTCACCCGAGTGACATCACCTCTCCAGCCTCAGTTTCTTCATCTGTAAAATGGGCATAATTATAGACACTGTTCCCAGGGTTGGTGTGGGGATGAAATCAGAAAGTGTTCATCAAATGCTCTGACACACCCTAAGCCCTCAATAAACACTGGGTGTTTTTGTTACTAATTTTCTTTATTACTATTGTTAATTTTTTTCATTTTTTTCCTTTTGTATTGAGGCGAAATTCACACAAAATTAACCATTTTAAAGTGCGCAATTCAGTGGATTTAGCCCATTCACAGTGTTGTGCAGCCATCACCTCTGTCTAGTTCCAGAACATTTTCACCCAAAAGGAAACCCCGTACCCAGGAAGCAGTCACTCCCTAACCCCCACCCCCAGCCCAGGCAGCCACTAATCTGCTTTCTGTCCAAACAGGATTTGCTGATTGTGCATATATCGTAAAAGTGGAATCGGAGAGCGTGCGGCCTTTTACGCTCTGGTTATCATTTTTATTGCTGTCCTCTCGGTGACCGCTGTGGGGTGCGGCTTTTGTTGTCATGTCTCGCGCAGACCGGGACACCGGGCCGGGCCTGCGCGGCTCCCTGAGCGATGAACCCCCAGTCAGTGCCGTCCCCCGATTCAGCTCCTCTTTGCAATGACACTGCACGGAGGGGCAAGACCCATGTCCCGTCGGGTTGTGAGGAGGGATCTGGCCAGCCCTGCAACTCACTGACCTTGCGACCCGGGCAAGTACCTTCCCCGCTCCGGGCCTCGGCAGCTTCGTTTGGAGGGAGCCGTAAATGAGACAACGCAAGCGAAGGGCTTGCGTGTGGCAGGAGCTCAGTAAGTGTCGCCTATGATTACTGTTGATGTTACTCCCATTTTACAGCTAAGAAAACTGAGGCTGTAAGTACCAGAGTCACATGCCCAATGACAGAGCCGGGATTCGAACCTGGGACTGGCCACCCCCAAGCTCACATCTGGCCTCTCAGCCCCCAGAAATCGCCTCACCCTCGTCTGCCCCTGTACCAACTCCATGGTCCTTGTCCCCCCCAGGGCAGAAGATGAGGGTGGGGCCCGGGCCCAGATGCTCAAATCCCTGCGGGAGGCGCAGGCAGCCCTGGCTGAGGCCCAGGAGGACCTGGACGCCGAGCGCGCGGCCAGGGCCAAGGCAGAGAAGCAGCGCCGGGACCTGGGCGAGGAGCTGGAGGCGCTGCGGGGCGAGCTGGAGGACACGCTGGACTCCACCAACGCGCAACAGGAGCTCCGGTGAGGCCGGCGCCTGGGGCTGGCACGGCCGGGCACGTGCGGGGCGGGAAGAGGGGCTTGGGTGCGAGGTCTCCATCTACGCAGAGGTTTAGTCCTTTAACGGCTGTTATGGATCCAATAAACAAGCCGGAGACAGGGGTGGGTCAGACCCAGCTATTACCCTTGGGAGCACCCAGTCTTGGAGAAGGAAGATTCCGGCAAGGACGGGCCCAATCCCAAGCAAGGGGTGCTCTGATGGGGCGACACAGGCACTGTGGGTGACAAGAGAAGGCCCCTAACCAAGTCTATGGGAGGAGGAGGTCCAGGAAGACTTCCCTGAGGAGGGGCCTTTTGAATAGGGTTTTCAAAGGTACGTAGGAGTTCGCCCTTACAGCCTCAGCCTTCCACAGTGTCACTGCTCAGGTCCCTTGGGGACTGGAGAGTGAGGTCCTCATTTTTGGAGGAAACAGGAAAAGGAAGCAAAGCAGCTCCCCCAAAACGCCCACCTTCCTCTATCAGGAAATTCTGTTTCCCTCTCTTTCTCCCAATAAAAGGTCCAAGAGGGAGCAGGAGGTGACGGAGTTGAAGAAAGCTCTGGAGGAGGAGACGCGTGTCCACGAGGTGGCGGTGCAGGAGCTGAGGCAGCGGCACGGCCAGGCCCTGGGGGAGCTGGCAGAACAGCTGGAGCAGGCCCGGAGGGTGGGTCGGGGCAGGGGGACAGGGTGGAGGGGCCGTGGGCAGGGCAGGGCAGGACACTGGGTTGGAGGAGGTAGCCCTGGCTGGCTCTAGGCCAGCCCATCTCCCTGGGGTTCTTTCCTCACGCATCCACGTCCTCCATCCATCTTTCATTCAGCAGGCATTAATTGAGTGTATACTATGTTCCAAGAATGGTACTGGGGACCCTACTGTGAACAAAACAACCATTACTGCCTTCCCTGGGGGGTCTTGTTGTAGCGGGAGAGGCAGAGAGTAAACACTATAAATGCATTCGTAATGTCTATCGGGGCGGTAAGTGCTGTGGGACCCCAATCAACCCGAAAAGGGGCATCAGGGTACTTGGGAAGGTTGTGATTTTAAGTAAAGAGGCCCCTGAGGGATTCTCTGAGAAGGTGACATCAGAGTAAAAACTGAGGGAGGTGTGGGGAGTGTGAGCCATCTGGGCTTCATGGGGAGGCATATTCCAGGCAGAGGGAACAGCCAGTGCAAAGGCCCTGAGGCAGGAGTGTGTCTGGCCTGGTGGAGGGGTGGCCTCATAAACCTTCGCTCATGTCTTTCCCCCCCCAGGGCAAAGGCGCATGGGAGAAGACCCGGTTGGCCCTGGAGGCCGAGGTGTCCGAGCTGCGGGTGGAACTGAGCAACCTGCAGACTGCCCGTCAGGAGGGTGAGCAGCGGAGGCGCCGCCTGGAGTCACAGCTGCAGGAGGTGCAGGGCCGGGCTGGCGACGGGGAGAGGGCACGAGTGGAGGCTGCTGAGAAGCTGCAGCGAGCCCAGGTGAGTGGGGCAGCGAGGGCAGGGTCTCTGCTGTGTGACCTTGGGTGAAACGCCTGCCCTCTCTGGACTTCCGTTTGGTTTCTATGAACCCGGTTGTCCTGTCCAGCTCTTCCAACATAATCATGTATAAGTGGCTGACATTTAGTGAGCAGGGAATTTATGCCAAACATTCTTCGTAGGAAAGAGCCAATATTGTTCCCATTTTACACAACAGGAAACTGAGGCCCGGAGCAGTACAGCTGATCGACTGAGATCAGAGCTGAAACTTGAACCCAGGCATGCTCTTAACCCTGCCACTTTCCACCCTCTTCTTTTCTGCCTTTGAGTAATTTGTGGTTTGATTAGAAGAGCCCAGTGTGACGATGTGGAACTATAAGAGGATAAATCATTCTGAGGTTACTCAAAGAAAAGTGGTTTTTAAAACTTAATTTTATTCTATTTTTAACTAAATGATCTATACCTGTTCATTATTGAGAATACAAACAAACAAAAAGAACAAAGGGAAGAATGACTTTTAATTCCCCAATTCTTCTCAGAGAAACCACCATTACTGCTTTTCATTTCCAGATTAGAGTATTAATTAGGGTAAAGGTTAAGCTGCTATAACAGAGACCCCAAAATTCATCCACTTCAATAAGACATGTCATTCCTTCTCACGAAGTAGGCTCAGGGTAAACAGTTCAGGCCGGCAGAACACTCTGCTCTATAAGGTCACTCAAGACCCAGGTTCCTTCTGCTTGTTGCTCCACCATCCCCAAGGGTGTTGACCTCATTTTCGGAGCCAAATCTGGGTTGTGGAAACATCTGTGCCCCAGCTCAGAAAGGGGAAAGAGAGGAAGTCACATAATTTGCATATGTTGCTTTGCTTTCATCCCATTGGCCATAACTTAATCACATGACTGCTGCTAGCTGCAAGGGAGGCTGGGAAATGTAGTTTCCAGCTTGTAGCCATGGTCATAGTAATTTGTCACAATGGAAGCAGGGAAGAATGGATGTGGGAGGACAGCTAGAGTCTTCTTCAGGTAGAATCCTGCTACCTGGTACACTGTACCAAGCACTTTACATATTACAAAAATAAAAGCGATATCAAAAGTAGAGCTTAGTGGTTGATAGCATGAGTTCTAGGCAGAGCTATCCTGTAGAGATGTGAATAGTCCACATTTGTGCTGTCCACTACCCATGTGTGGCACTGAGCACTCGAAATGTGGTGAGTGTAACTAAGGAACTGAATTTTTACTTTTATTTCATTTTAATTATTTTAACTTTAAATTTAAATAGCGACACAGAGGTAGTGGCTACCACATTGGACAGAGCCATCACGCCTGGGCTCAGATCTCAGTTCTACCACTTGTAGCTGTGTGATCTTAGACAAATTGCCAACCTTTCTGTGCCTCAGTTTCCCTTTATATAATCTGGGAATAATAGTGATATCTACCCTCATAGGGTCAGTGTGTGAGTTCAATGAGCCAATACTTAGTAAAGCACTTAGAATAGTTCTGGGCGCACAGTGAGTTCTCAAAAATTGTAAAATGGTCCTATTTATTGAGCATCAGGTATATGTCAGTCACTGAGTAAGGCACATTATGTTCATTGTTTCATTTAATCTTCACAGCACCCTTGGGGGGTAGGTCTTGTTGTCATCCCCATTCTAGAGATGAGGAAACTGAGGCTCATAAAGGTAAAAGTCATTCATCTTGGGTCATACAGCCAGGAAGTGCCAGGGCCAGGTCAAAATATAATTTTCAAAAGTTTGAATCATGGCTCTCATACAAAGATATGGTGAATATATGTCAGAGATTTATTTAAAATGTTAGTGAGGGGCCGGGCGCGGTGGCTCACACCTGTAATCCTAGCACTCCGGGAGGCCGAGGCAGGAGGATCATTTGAGCTCAGGAGTTCAAGACCAGCCTGAGTAAGAGCGAGACCCCATCTCTCCTAAAAATAGAAAGAAATTAGCTGGACAACTAAAAGCATATAGAAAAAATTAGCCGGGACATGCCTGTCGTCCCAGCTACTCGAGAGGCTGAGGCATGAGGATCGCTTAAGCCCAGGAGTTTGAGGTTGCTGTGAGCTAGTCTGATGCCACAGCACTCTAGCCTGGGCAACAGAGTGAGACTCTGTCTCAAAAAATAAATAAAATAAAATGTTAATGAGGGACCCAGCAGGATGGCAAAGATGTTCAACAAGAGAGATGAGAGACTGGTGTGTATGTAATTGGCAAAAGAGAAAAGGCTGAAATGAAATGGTGCAGTTAGAGGCAAAACTGGTTAATGTCCTATAGAGCAATAAAGTGTAAGCTTCAGGTTATCTTCTCTACTGGACAGAAATCATTTGCAACATATCAGCCTTCTTCATGTAACTTCACAGTATAAGTGAAAGAGAGTTTTGTTCCCCTGGAGAGTGAGGTGAACCTGAAGTGGGCTTGCTGGATGGTTTTATTCTATGATATCAAAAGGACACATGGTCATCTTGTCCCATTTCCAAGTTTTCAGATGAATTTTCCTACTAGCCAGAATTTGAACTCAACCTTGTTCCCTAAGTGAACCTTGGATAGGGAGAGCAAGAGGCTCAGGGTAAGGCACAAGTACTGGAGACTCTCATCCTACACACATTTATTGAGCACCTACTGTGTGCCAGGCCCTGGGGACACAGCAGGCAATTAAGCAGATGAGATCCCTGCCCTGACGCAGGTAACAGTCTAGGAGGAAGGAAGTATCAACTGCCCACGTCCTGCAGCCGAGACCATGAGGCCAGGAGCCTCACCCAGGGTCACTGCGGTGGTGATATGGGATGGGTGGGCAGGGTAGGGAAGGTGAGGAACAGCTTTATTGAGATATAACTCACATGCCATATAATTCACTCATTTAACGTATACAATTCAATAGATTTTAGGGTATTCGTGGAGTTGTACAACCATCACCACAATCTAATTTTAGACCATTTTCATTACGTAAAAAGAAATCCCACACTCTTTAGCCATCATCCCCCAATTCTCACCCCACCCCACCCAGGCAACCACTGATCTACTTTCCGTCTCGACACATCTCCTATTCTGGAGAGCTTATGTCCGTGGAATCACAATATATGGCCTTCGTGACTGCCACCTTTTGCTTTACGTAATGTTTTCAAGGTCCATTATATCGTAGCACGTTATCAGTGGCTTTCCTTTTTCATGCCAAGTAATTCCCATTGTGTGGGTATAAAACATTCGGTTTGTCCATTCGTCTGTTGATGGGCACTTAGGTTGTTTCCGCTTCTTGGCGACTGTGAATATTCCCGCACAAGTTTCTGCATAGACGTGTGTTTTCGTTGCTCTTGGATACACGCCTGGGAGCGGAATTGCTAAGTCGTATGGAAACTATGTTTAAGCGTTTGGGGAACTGCCAGACTGTTTTCTGCAGTAGCTGTGCCATCTGATGTCCCCACCAGCCGCGTGTGGTGGGGACCTGAGGAGCAGACAGGGTCGCTGGCTGAAAGCCACGACTGGAGGCTTCCTCCCACTGCCCCTTCCCCGCAGGCTGAGCTGGAGAACGTGTCCGGGGCGCTCAGCGAGGCCGAGTCCAGAGCCATCCGGCTGGGCAAGGAGCTGAGCAGCACGGAAGCCCAGCTGCACGACGCTCAGGTGACCCAGCCCGCCCTGCGGCCCCACCGTTCGCTGCCCTCCCCCCTCGTCCTCCTAACCACACGTGACATCGTCGTCCCCTTCCTCCACAGGAGGTGCTGCAGGAAGAGACCAGGGTGAAGTTGGCCTTGGGGTCCCGGGTGCGAGCCCTGGAGGCTGAGCTGGCCGGGCTGCGGGAGCAGCTGGAGGAGGAGGCGGCCGCCAGGGAGCGGGCGGGCCGCGAGCTGCAGACCGCCCAGGCCCAGGTGAGCGGCCCCCAGCAAGGCCTTCTGGAAGGTTCAGTCCCCTCCTGGGCTCCCCAGCCCAGGGACGGCCCCACTGTCCACCTCGTCATAGCGCCATTCTCACCTCCTGGCCCTCCCTCCCTGCCCACAGCCTGTGCCCAGCCCCAGGCTCCTGCCCCTGCCCCTCTGCCCTATCCCTGCTGTCCATTCACACGGCCCAGCCCCAGCTCAGAATCCACTTCGCGTGGAAAAGCCCTTTCATTCTCCCCGCTGTTGGAAGCTCTTCCTAACCACCCTCTCTTTCTCCTCTGTCCCAACTGCGGTCACCTTGGGCTGGGACTGTCTCCGCCCATGAGTCTCCCCACCAGGCTGAGAGCCCTTCAAACCAGAACCCCATCAGATCCAGTTAGATCTGGGTCCCCAGCACAGCCCAACATAGAGCCTGATGCATGATGGGCCCGAGAAATGCCTGTTGAATGAATGAGTGATGATTCATGCTGTAAATATCCTTCAACTGGCAAACTCCTACGCATACGTCACATCTCATCTCAAATGCTCCTCCTCTGGGAAGGCTCTCCTGCGTGTTCTAAACAGATTCTGAGCCCCTGTGTGGATTCCCATGGCTCCTATACTTCTTCTACCTTAGCCTCATCACCCTGCTGTGACACTCAGTCTCCCCCATCAGACTGGGGGTTCCCCAGGGAAGACTCTAGGTCTGATTCATGTCTGGGTCCTGGAGGGAGTCATTTTAATCCCCTGGAAGAGCCAGGGCTCGTAGTACTCACAGCCTCAACCCTACCCTAAGGCAGAAGAAACAGTGGAGTGATCCTTTCCCCCTTGGGCCTCAGTCTCCTCATCTGGGAAATGGGGCATCACCAGCTCACACCTTGGTCACTCATGGCCACGACTGCCACCCACCCTCTCTCTCCTCCCTCCAGCTCTCAGAGTGGCGGCGGCGCCAGGAGGAGGAGGCAGGGGCCCTGGAGGCAGGGGAAGAGGCACGGCGCCGGGCAGCCCGAGAGGCTGAGGCCCTGACCCAACGCCTGGCAGAGAAGACAGAGACGGTGGATCGGCTGGAGCGGGGCCGTCGCCGGCTGCAGCAGGAACTAGACGACGCCACCATGGACCTGGAGCAACAGCGGCAGCTCGTGAGCACTCTGGAGAAGAAGCAGCGCAAGTTCGACCAGGTGGGGCACCTCAGTTTACCCAGCTGGGGGAGCAGCCGGCTAATCTATGCTGCCCGTGGCCTTTGTGGGGAATCGGTAATATACTCTGTCGTATCTGGGAGGCCGAGGCGGGTGGATCGTTTGAGCTCAGGAGTTCGAGACCAGCCTGAGCAAGAGCAAGACCCTGTCTCTACTAAAAAATAGAAGGAAATTAGCTGGACAACTAAAAATATATAGAAAAAATTAGCCGGGCATGGTGGCACATGCCTGTAGTCCCAGCTACTCGGGAGGCTGAGGCAGGA